AGACATTTCTGCTGCTGCTGCTGGAGCACAAGTGGATGAGAAAGAGAAAGAGATTGACGAGACTGGGGTGGAGCCACGTGACATTGATTTGGTGATGACACAGGTAGGTGTATCAAGGGGTAAAGCTGTCAAGGCTCTCAAGACTCACAATGGAGACATAGTCTGAAAGTATTTGGGCAATGATGGGAAGGTATGTGTAGAAAATAAACGGAATAGTTTGAGGTCCGGCGGGCGGCTAAGGTGAGGTTGCCGCCCGTCGGGGAAGCGAAAATATTAGGCTCTAAACCTGCTCTGATACCATGTAGAAATTTAATGTATACAGAAAAATAGAGAATTGTATAGATATTGATTGTATTATTGATTGATATATTGAATGTTACAATGATTCCTATATATAGAAGAGTAGGTGGTAGTAGGTGGTAGATGGAGTAGGTAAAGTGGAGGTGGTAGTGGTGTAGTGGGTTAGGTTTAGTGGAGTAGGTGAGGTGGTAGTGGTGTAGTGGGTTAGGTTTAGTGGGTGAAGTAGGTGATAGGTTTTAACAATATATGATTGGAATCATTCTATTATTTATTTTTCCATATTTAGATTATATTGTAATTCCTTAATCAGTGCCTTTCTTCCTTTGTAATAGTTTGATTGATTAATGTAAGAGGGGTGATATTATTATCATTCCCTAAGTTAGCTTCCTCTTAAGCAGACATGGTATCAGAGCCTTGAGGGCCTTGAGGCTCCTATCTCCCTACCATACCTCTGGCAGCCACCAATCACCCTTCCGGCAGCCACCAATCACCCCTCCGACAGCCACCCATGTTCTCCAAGCCTTCTCCAATCTTTTTCAGCACTCTTTCAAGCCTCTTCTAGGGCTTGTGACACTGCCCAGCGTTTTTCGGCACTGCCTAGCACTGTTCCAATGCACCCTTCAGCCTCTCTAGGGCTTGCGATAGTCCTAGCCACTGTGACACCTCTCTTTCTTCAGGCCTTGGGTCGGACAGATTCGCCAACACCCTCCTAGGTATTTCTTGACTTCTTCATGGTCTGATAGGTGTTTCTTGGACTAACCTTTGGTCTTCCTTGTGTGTTTCGAATCCTTTGTAATAGCCTTTAAGTGTCTCTCAACATCCTATGGTCTGATAACACTTTTATTCATCCTCGTTATTTATACTCTGTTTTTCATTGTGGTTAAACCCTCAAATTGTTATTTTGATTAAAGTTTCACCCTTTTACTTATTCTTTGGGGTAGTAAATAACCCCATTAATCTAAGTGTTATGCTCCCATAGTGGTCTGGGTTTGAGATTGCTTGCTCACTCCATTCCCTCCTTCCATTATTGTGATTATCTGTGTATACACACAGATCTGGTGTTGATGATGATGTGCCTCTCTCATATGTGTATGTGTATATAGATTTGTGTATACATACAGATCTAGTGTTGATGATGATGTGTGTGTCTCTCTCTCATATATGTGTGTGCATGTGTATAGATCTGTGTATACACACAGATCTGGTGTTGATGATGATGTGTTAATGGGATGAGAGGGATAGAAGATGAAGGAAAAAGAAAAAAAAAAGTTTTGTTGATGATTGTTGGTTGTTGTTGATAATGATGTGTTGTTGAATTTTTTTTTCTTTCATATTCTACATTTTTTGTTTTTGGTGATTGTTAGTTGTTGTTGATGATGATGTATTGTTGTTGTTGTTGTTGATATTGATGCTCTCTCTCTCGGTTCCCCAACTCTCTCTTCATCATCTTCATCTTTTTCATTTTTGCCTCTCTGTTTCAGAGAGAAAAGAGAAAAAAAAAAAAAAATTCAAAACAAAATCATTTTAAAATTTGAGTTAGTTAAATCAACTCCCTACCTAGCAGCGCTGTTGCAATGATAATGACATGAAGAGTACTAAATTTGTCTATATGTAAATGGAAGCGTGGTTAATGCTGTAGGCTTGTGTTTTGCATGAGGAATAAGTGTGTCCACACGTGGTTATAGGCTGATGTGTAAAGGGTCTACTCTAAATCCTTGGCTCAAAAGAGACTCAAAGAAACAGATATGGGAATTGGATTTTTAATTAATTTTTAAATTTTATAAATAAATATATAATAAAAAAAATAAAAATATTAATATATATAATCTTTATAATATATTTACATAAAAAAAAATATTAACACATGCAAATATAACATATATATATATATGAGTGTATATTATACATATTAATAAAAAAAACACACACATATATGTAAAATAAAATAAAAATAAATTACCAATAACACATTATTTAAAAAATATAATAAATAAATAAAATAATTAATGTGTATTAAAATAAAAATATTTATAATGTGTATTAAAAAATATATATATATATATATATTATCGCTCCTCGAGGTGCTCCCAACCTAAGAAACTTCTATCAGCTCACGTTTCCCCACTCCCGCCCCGCCCCCGCTCTCGCTTCGTGCAACTAAGGTTTGATGTGAATCAGGTTGGATGCGTTTGAAGTACAAAACGAGCAAAAACATGAAACTTTAACTGAAAATTTTTTCTTGCACGTGCGGAAGGTCATTCCCACATGCGGCCTCTCGTCTTGAAGTCAAAACATTTTGAAAAATCCGCATGTGTGGAGGATTTTTCCCACACGCCGCACTTGCAGTGACATTTCCCACACGTGCGACCTGACCTCGTTTTGCGCGCGTGACTTTCTAGACCTATTTTTAGGCTTGCAAGGTATAAAAGGAAGAAAGAAAAGCTAGAGAGGGGTTCTGATATTTTTTCAAAGAAAAAGAGAGCCTAGGGAGATAAAGCTTGAAGCTTTAAGGATGTCTGCCATGGTGGCTTCTCCTTTAACCTCTTTCCAGTCCTCCATTTTCTAGGATTTTGATGAAACCTTAGCGATGTAAAGAGATTTTTCTTAGGCTTTGATTGTGTAAGGATTTAAATAAATGTATGGATGTTTATAATAATATTTCTTTTCATCTCTTCAAGTTTATAATAATATTTCTTTGTGTTTGTGTTCAAAGTATGAGACGAGTCATGCTACGAGAGACGAGTTGTGTTGCTGTCGTAGTTTAGAGCGAACGACTTGTGCTACTTGAGATGATTCGTGTATGTACGTTGAATGCAACAATCCTCTTGATCAATGCTTCAAACTTGTAGTTGTGGAACATTGGGTAATTCAAGCCGGATTGCAATTGATGGCCGATGTTTAATCTTATTTATGTGGCTAGTGGTAAATTCTTTGGTCTAGGATTTTTCCAAAATCAATATTTCAAACCCTAATTTTAATTGTCAATTCAATTTCTCAATTTCATTTTAATTCTCATTTAGTCATATTATCCATCAATCTTTTTATCAAAATTAATTTAGGAACCTAGCAATTGAATTAGTTTAATTTCACAATTGAACTAGCAATTGAATTAGTTTAATTTCACAATTGTCACCTAGACTTGCCATTATTCTAAGGAATTTGGGCATAGTTTATTTTTGGTGTGCCATACAACCCCATCAGTACATAAGGGATAAGTTATACCATGGATAAATGATTGGATAAAGGGAGTGGGGATTATTGTATTATGTTTGGTTGGGCAGAGATAAAAAGATATAATTATTTTTTACCATTGTATGAAGGAGGGGAATAATCTGGAAAGGCCTAATCCCTTAACACCACAATTCCTGTGGTATTACTCAATTCCTCATTTTCCCCCATTTTGATGAAACCCTAGCCATGTAAAGAGATTTTTCTTAGGCTTTGATTGTGTAACGTTTTGAATAAATGTATGGTGCGTTTTCTCTTGCAAACAAACATGCATATGGTGTGTTTTCATGGTGGTAATTTGACAATAATGATGAAATGAGCAACTTGACAGATAGAGAAAGTATTGAAACTTTGACACTCTTTTCTTGCAATGCTATTATCGTTCATGCCATTTCTGCAGTATTTCAATCACTTGAACCATTGGACTTACACAGTTTTTATATGTTATTTTATTTTGATTTTGATTTTGATTGTGGATATTCATTTTGTATTTTGAACTTCCATACGTAAGCTATATGTAGTTATACATATTTGCATATAGTTGGCCTATCAATAACAAATGGCAGGCATCTTTTGATTAAACTTGAGGGGCTCCAGCATGAAAGTGCATGTACCATCCCTTTTTGTGGTAGGGTTAAAAATTGTTGAGGAGCACTGGGAAAAGGTCTCAGGACTTGCTTGGGGCACCACTCTGCATTCTTAAAGGCCTTTATTCATAAAAATAGTGAAATGAAAATAATGTGCTGCAAATGTGAGTGAACACTTTTCTGCATTCAGAACTAACATCTTATGGCTTTGATTTCTGGAAGCATGATTTGAACATAGGAGTTTGTACTTCCCAATTTTCTAGGTATGGAGTTTTGTGGAATGTGCTGTTTCAACTATGATTAACTAATTAGAAGTTGATAACCAAAAAAGCAAAAAAAGAAAAGAACAAGGAGACAAGTTGACAACTGTCTTTTAGAAGTGATAAGCTAATCAAAAAAATTTGAAAAAGTAATTGTTGATAACTACGGGAAATAATGTCTTCCTCAAGTTTTAATAGAATTTCCCTGAAAGTGACTATCCTCCCTGGGTCCCCCCTTAAAGAAACTTATACTTTACGTAAAAATGCCTAAAACCAGCCTCGAATTATCCTCACTTGAAAGTTAGGAATTTTTACAGCTCTTGGATGCAAGGTAGTAAAATAGAAGTGAATCCTTGGGGGCTGCAGTTTAAGCTAACTATTAAGGAAAACTACATGAATATGAGAATGCTGTTGACATGGTGATAGAATTATGATTCCTCTAATTTTGTCTGCTGGATGATGGTTTTCCCTGTTATGGTCTATAAGCCTTATGCTTCAGGCATACATCTTTTCCCTTTATTTCCCTTTGTTGAATGTTTATCTTAATAATAAAGTAGATGTGTGTTTCCTTTAAAGGCTTGTACACAAGTTTTCTTTACTATAGTATGTGTTTAGGTGGTTTCAGATTGAGCTCGCAAGAGATATGGGTTATGCAGCTGCAAGATTTGGTCATGTGATGTTTCCGGAGAATGTTCATGAACCAGCTTTAGAATGTGCAGAACTTTTGCTTGGAGGGGTTGGCAAAGGTTAGCTATATCTCCTCTCACCTTCTGAGAACTTTTGCAATTGGTTTTTTGCATATGCTTATTGACTTTTTGGTTATAAATGTTGTCTCATTGGATTAATGAAATCCATGTTTGGCTTTTGTTTGTGTATGTTTCCTTCCAAAGCTTGATGATGCTTAGAGTGGGATCCTTTTTGTAGTGATCTCTCATTTTGTGAAGAGATGGCTTCTTTTTATTCTATTTTTGTTTCTTTTAGTTTCCTTTTGGTTTAATATTAAAAATGTGGTTGCAATTTTCTTTTACTTATCAAAAAAGACAAAAAACTTTGTTGCCAATGAATGAAAATTGTAAGCAATGAACTCTTGCATTTTACCCCTCCCCATGCTGTATTCTTTTGTGCTCTTTCCCCATCCCTGCTACTTCTTTGTTTTTGTTTGGTTAAATATGATCAAGCATTTATATCATGGATTATATGTCGTAAATATTCAACAGTATGCTTTTGCTACATTGAGGGGAATTTGATATGGTATCAAATAATACCTTTTGATTTACTTTGGATTGGATTAAGCAATTGGCAGACGGAGAGTGGTGCAACATGCAATATCGTTATAGACCTAACTAGAATTATGATTTGATTACCTCACGTGAGTAGGAAAAAAGTTTCTTGGCGTTCTATCTCACTTCTTGATGAATCAGAGAGAATTTTTGATAGATAAGAAGGATTATCTCTAGCCTTATATGGCACTTTGCTAGGTACCAAATAATTGTTTGTTGACAATAAAATAAGATACATGTATACCATACTTTGGTTCCTGTTCCCTTCACAAAAGAAGTCTAAGGATGGGATATTTATCTCACAGAGAAAATATGTGCTTGACCTGTTGAAGGAAACTGGGATGCTTGGCTGCAAGGCATGTGCCACCCCACTGGAACCCAATCAGAAATTGGGGGATGATGAAGGAGGAGAAGTTGTGGATAGGGGGAGCTATCAACGTTTAGTTGGTAAGCTCATTTACCTATCTCACTCCCGTCCTGATATTGCTGTTGCTGTCAGTGTAGTTAGTCAGTTTATGCATGCTCCTCATCAGATTCACTTTGAGGCTGTCATGAGAATCTTGAGGTATTTGAAGTCTGCTCCTGGTAAGGGTATGTATTTTTCAAAGTATGATCATCTTCGTGTAGAAGCCTATACAGATGCTGATTGGGCTGGGTCAGTAACTGATAGGAGATCAACTTCAGGGTATTGCACATTTGTCGGCGGCAACCTAGTTACTTGGAGGAGTAAGAAACAAAATGTGGTTGCCAGGTCAAGTGCAGAAGCTGAGTTTAGAGCTATGGCACAAGGTGTGTGTGAACTTTTATGGATCAAATTATTGTTGAGTGATCTAGGTATTGCTCAGACGGACTCCATGCGGTTATATTGTGATAATAAGGCCGCCATCAACATTGCTCACAATCCAGTTCAACATGACAGGACAAAACATGTTGAGATTGATCGCCACTTCATTAAGGAGAAACTCACTAGTGGTACCATTTGTACTCCTTTTGTTCAGTCTGGTGAACAACTTGCTGACATTCTCACCAAGGGAATTGGGAATAAACCGTTTCATGACATATTAGGCAAGCTAGGCATGAAAGATATCTTCGCACCAGCTTGAGGGGGAGTGTTGGCATATTATAATCACCGAAAGTCACTTAGTATTTTATTAGCCGAAAGGCACTAGGGTTTGTAATCATTGTTATGCCCTCAGGGATCATCTTGTAATTGTCTTGTTTGTAAACCCTAATCTTCATTTATAAATAAGGGGTGATATCTCATCATACCCTAAGCTGATTATTCAAGCTTCACTTAGGCACTACTGCTCTTCAAGATTCAACACTCTCATTGCTCTCTCTACCAAATTCAGTTTGGTGTTAAGGTTGTCTCTACAAGTCCTAAGTTGTTCTAGTTCACTCTCTTTCTTTGTCAATTCACACTTGAGGGTATCATGCTTTTTTCTTTATGATCTTTTACTTGAAATCTAACTTAACTTTGATCTTCTTAAGTTTAACAGAAGCCTTATAGTTCAATATATTCAAGTTGAACAGAATCCTCGTCCTCATTATTAGATACCTCTAATTTTTAAGATCACTCATTAGAACCAAACTCGGAAAGTTTTTTCCCTAGGTACGGTTATTTATTACCCAAAAATGAGCAACCGAGATGCTTTGATACCAATTTAAATAGTGGGGGTGGACAGAGTCTTCCTTCTAATTTTCAGGATGCTTTTTCTACTCCTGAGTGGAAGCATGCCATGATGGAGGAGATGAGAGCCCTGGCTAAAATCAATTCAATTTAGTTTTCCAATTCCAATGCTTATGTCATCCACACAATTTGTATTAAATAAATGCAGATACTAGATAGTGATATACATGGATAACTATTGGGAAAAACTTGTTAGATTGGTAAAAAACTACAATTACCTTTGCTGATCAAAATTCAGTAGATCAAGAGTTTAATACAAAGACTTAAGTGAACGACTTATAACTCAACAGTGGATGCATTAGCCTTGATGTCTTCCTCGTCAAGCTCACAAATTCAAACTCCATTTGCAAGCGCGCAACTGTATGTGGTTTTGTAAGACAATCAGTGAAAAGTTTTGCAAATTAGTGCTTATGAATAATCAAATCAGGTCTTCTTCTTTGTGTAGGGAGGAATTAGGTCTCCTAGATATTTGAGTGCAATAAAGAAACTAGAATATCTTTGAATGTATTTGTGTGTTTGATTGAAAAATGAAGGCCACATTTATATTTTCTACAAAATAGGTCATGTAGGGATTCAAAACTTTGCTTGCCTACTTGAGTGCATTTTGGGTGGACTCCAAGTGCGCGATTCTTTTTTTTTTTTTTTCGGAGCACAGTACCCGAAAAGGCCTGCTTTCAAGATGAGCACATTGGTCTTGCCTAAATAGCCTTATTTTGAACTATTCCAAATACAAAGTGCATAAGACCACTAAATAGGTCACTTCAAGCTAAATTTTTTATACTCCATCAAAAAAACACTTGTAGACTAGTACAATATGTTTCCTAAGGTTGGATTGAAGCACTTTTTTCTTTGTCTTTGAACATCTTCAATCATTAGTATTTGGACTCTCAAAGCTATATGCATATTGTTAGAATGTGTTAGAATATTCCTTATTTTATTCTGATGTATATTCAGTATTCTTATTTTATGTCTTAGGGCACTCCTGTAATTATGGTAATGATTGAATATAAAAGGGGATGAGATACTACTCATACCTCTAACTTTTCTCTTCTTAAAATTGACATGGTATCAGAGTCATTCTAAACCCTAGCAACCACAACCCTACAGCCACCTTCACACCACAACCACACCACCACCCCGGCCGCAGTCCACACCACACTAGACGCCATCTCCCTAGGGTTCCGCCAGGACCGCTCACAGCCTCCTAGGGCCTCGACAGTCCTAAGTCGCATCCTCCTAGGACTTCGGCAGCTCTAGCCGTAGCCTTCGAAGGCTTTGCCTGCACCCTAGGGCTTGTCGGAGCCCCTCCTTTGACTCTGGCATTGCCAGCTATTTTGCCACCCATGGTATTGTTCACCAAACTTCTTGTACCAATACCCCTCAACAGAATGGTGTTGCAGAGCATAAAAACCGCCATCTTCTTGATATTGCGTGTTGTCTGTCTTTTGAAATGAGTGTTCTTAGATCATATTGGGGGGAAGTTGTTCTCACTGCAGCCTTCCTTATCAATCGTTTGCCTACCTAGGTCCTCCACAAACACACTCCTCTTCAGGTTTTGTTAGGGTCCCACTCGTCTGGTTTCTCCATTCCTCCCAAAACTTTTGAATGTGTGTGCTTTGTTCATAATCACTCTCCTACCCGTGGTAAGTTGGATCCTAGGTCTCTTCGGTGTGTCTTCCTAGGTTACTCCGCCACACAAAAGGGCTTCAAGTGTTATCATCCCCTTTCTTGGAAATGGTTTGTCTTTATGGATGTGTCTTTCTTTGAGTCTCAGTCCTACTTCCTGTCCTCCTTGGTGTCCCAGTCATCCCTTCAAGGGAAGCCTTGGCGTGAAGCAATTCCTGTGTCACTACTATTGGTGATTGAGTAGGTTGAGAATATTAATGGTGATCCAACTATTGAGAATGTTGAGTTTGAATCCGCAGTGAAAGATGTTGAGCCTGAATCCACGGTGAAAGACGGAAAAGTTTATGTCAGGGACAAGGATAGAAAACAAGTTACTTGGGTACAAAAAGACCAATTTGGATTCTCCATTGCTATCTTCTTCTCCTGCTGATGAGTGTTCAGAATCCTCTTCTTCTGATGAAACTCCAGGTAACTCTATTTTTTCTGGTCTACATATTCCCATTGCTAAAAGGAAGGGAGTTAGGTCTTGTACTCAACATCCTATTTCTCATTTTGTCTCATACACTAATTTGTCTTCTTATAAAGCTTTTTTGTCTAAAGTTTCTTCTATGAGTCTTCTTTCTAATTTTCAAGATGCTTTTTCTACTCCTGAGTGGAAGCATGCCATGATGGAGGAGATGAGAGCCTTGGCTAAAAATGGCACTTAGGAATTGGCTGAGTTACCTAAGGGCCAACGACTTGTTGGATGTAAAAGGGTGTACATAGTGAAGCACAAAGCTGATGGTTCAATTGAACGTTAAAAGGCAAGCTTGGTGGCCAAGGGCTTTACACAGACCTATGGAGTAGACTACTAGGAGACATTTGCTCCTGTTGTTAAGATGAACTCTATCAGAGTCCTTCTCTCCTTTGCCTCTAATCTCGACTAGCCTCTCCATCAATTTGATGTGATATGGAGATTTGGAAGAAGAAATGTACATGGACATTCCCTAAGGCTTTAAGGATGTTAAAACCAAAGGAAAAGTGTGCCAACTAAGCAAGTCACTTTATGGACTCCAACAGTCGCCTAGGACTTCGTTTGAGAAGTTTACTCAGGCCATGCTACGATATGGTTTCAAACAAAGTCAAGCTGATCATACTTTGTTCGTGAAACACTCCTGACATGGTAAGACTACAACTCTTATTGTTTATGTGGATGATATTGTATTCACGGGGGATGATGTTAAGGAGGTTCTTCGGTTAAAGTAGTATTTGACTAATGAGTTTGAAATCAAAGACTTAGGCAGCTTGAAGTACTTTCTTGGTATTGAAGTTGCTCGGTCCAAAGATGGCATCTTCATATGTCGAAGACAGAATGTGCTTGATTTGCTAAAAAAAATTGAGATGCTTGGAAGTAAAGCCTGTGATACACCACTAAAGCCTGGAATGAAGCTTAATGGGAGATATCAGCGGCTAGTGGGTAAGCTTATCTACTTATCCCATTCGCGTTCTGACATTGCTATGGCAGAGAGTATGGTTAGTCAGTTTATGCATGCTCCACATGCAATTCACTTAGAGGCAGTTATGCGAATTCTGAGGTACTTGAAGTCTTCTCTGGGAAAGGGTCTCTATTTTTCTAAACATGGTCATCTTAATGTGGAGGTATATACAAAATGCTAATTGGGCTGGATCAGTCACTAATAGAAGGTCAACCTCTGGCTATTGTACCTTTGTTGGAGGAAATCTAGTTATTTGGAGAAGCAAGAAACAGAATGTAGTTGCGAGGTCCAGTGCAGAGGCTGAATTCAGAGCTATGGCTCAGGGTGTGTGAGCTATTATGGATTAGACTACTTTTGAGGGATTTGGGGATTCATCAGACAGATTCTATGCAGCTATACTGTGACAATACGACAGCCATTAATATAGCTCACAATTCAGTTCAGCGTGACAGGATCAAGCATGTGGAGATTAATAGACATTTTAATCAAGGAGAAAATCAATGCTGGCATAATCTGTATGACCTACCTTCCAACAGGTGAACAATTAGCTGATGTGCTAACGAAGGGACTACACAAGAAGCAATTTGATAAGCTGACTAGCAAGCTGGCTATGGAAGACATCTTCAAACCAGCTTGAGGGGAAGTGCTGGAAATTTGTGTTAATGTATATAATAAGATAGTGGCATGTATATAATATGATAGTGGTGTTGGTGGCCGATAGTGGCATGTATAGAATATGATAGTGGTGTTGGTGGCAGATAGTGGCATGTATATAATATGATAGTGGTAGATAGTGGTAATATATAATATGTAAGTAGCATATAATGGGTTATAATGATGTTTGTAATATCTCCTATATAAGGAGTGTCATTTGGTCTTGTAAGATAAGAAGTTTTGAATATAACAGAAATATATTCCTTCTTCCTCATATTTTCGGAGTTTTTCTTCCTCATATTTTTTAAGTCATAGTTTTGCCCCCGCCCCTGGCCACAAAACTTTTGCTCTTTTTCGGTCACCCAAAAAGTCAATAAAAAGAACATCAATACTTTCTATTAGAGCCACCCACAATAAATCCATCAAACGAAAAAGTCGACGCCACAAACTCAACATTTGCCTGTTAATTTTTCGTTTTGCATTTTGTGGAGAGATGGGGGCTATTACCAGATGAGTGGCATTGGAAGAGGAAAGGGCACATTGGTGATGTGACAATTTCTTTGTCACCTTCCTGCCTTATCCTTTTTCATGTAGTTTATGGTTTATAATCCATGTTGACACTTTCAAGGAATGTCTGAATATTTACTCTCCGAAAATCATTTGATATCTTAAGTAATATATGCAGGGGTGAGTTCACTGTTTGTCTACAGTAATTTCATCCTTGCTGCATAGCCTCAGGATTCATCTCTCCCTCCTGCTCTCTCAATATTCTTTTGAGCTTACATCTGTGGTCTTATGAAGCATGGGTGCGGGTACGGATATGGGTATGGGCACGATACAGGTATGCTGATACGACAAATTCTTAAAAATATAACGTACAGGTTCGGCTGGGAAAAAGCGGTGGGGCCTAATTTTCGTTTTTGTTTTTCTGATCTCTGTGCATTGCAGATAGGTGCTAGTATAGGAGCTAATCTTGCAGTGCATGTTCTGCATAATATATCAGTACAGTGCCTATATTTTATTTGTTCTCCATTGTTCAAAAGCATATTTTAATATTCTAGCCCCCCCCCCCCCCCCCCCTTCTCTCTCTCTCTCTCTCAGATTGTTGAATTTTATGTGATACATCGCTATTGTATTGTCTACACTGCTGATATCAATTTCTAGTTAGGCATATTGATAACAATACATGAACCACTTTGTTGGACATTCAGGATGGGCATCACGGACATTTTTTTCGGATAATGGATCGACAGCAATAGAAATTGCACTGAAGATGGCATTTCGCAAATTCTTGTGCGATCATGGAATCCTTTTGGACCTTTCGAAGGGTGACATGTCTGAAAGATGTATTGAGCTCAAGGTGAGCTATCCAGTTAACTAATCTGAATATCTTCAATGTAAATTATATAACTGCTTATTTTCTGATAGCAAGTCTGGGTGCTAGAAATTGCTTTTTATTTTTTTTCATTTCTCGCTTTTTCCTTCTACATGAATATAAAATACATAATTCAATCAATCCAAGGCAAATCAGTTTCTTTAATGCTTCGTTTTCTATTTGGAGCTGCTTTTTGGGTATCAATGAATGTTTTTCATTAAATGGTTATGTCTTCAATTCAACTAGTGGCCTCTTAAGCACGGTTCTTTGAGGCCTAAACTAGGCAATCTTTCCTCGTTAGATGGTTATACTGAGGCAACAAATGGGCAAAAAGGTGGATTGTTTTAATTTTGTAATATAAAATGTTGATACTGGTGAGAAAATGAGGTACAAAGCATATTATTGAGCATAGATATAGAGTCACAATCTTGTTGAATTCATCAACAAGACAATCAAGGACACGTTATAAAATGTTGATGCTGGTCATATTGTCTAAATTAAAAAGTGCTTCTTTATCCTTCTCTTACAAAATTTGTTATCCACTGTGTTCTTCTCTTTGCTCCTCATACTTTCTATATATTTGGTTACCAATGCGTAGTTGATCAGCCATATTACATTTGTTGAATCATCCAATATCATCTATACCTAAAGACAAATTTGAAGTGTTATATTTATTAATTGACGAGATGTTTGTGATAAATCAGCCACTGAAGTGCTTTTGGGACACATAAATAAGCTTTTGTAGCTACCATTCACCACCTTGACCCTGATGCACAGTTTAAGGGGACTCGGAGAAATGACCTATACATTACCTTAGTGGCAGTTCAACTTCATGTGTAGTGAAGTGTGTGTTATATCCTTTCCATCTCGGAGAATATGCTGATTGAATAGATTAGTTTTGTTTTGCCTGTTTATTTGTTGTACCTGAACAGTTGCCTTGGGCTGTCTTCCTCTCCAAAGTATTGTTTAATTACCTGCCAGGCTGCCATATTAAGTGAAGCAGTTGTAGCCTAGAGTTGGAAAGACTACCCAGAAGTATTTGCTTGAAATTTTGTTATGCGTAGTTTGAGAGCAACAAATTAATATTTTTTTGGTATGATTTATGTTTAGTTTTTTCTTTAATTATTATTATTATTTTCATTTTTTATTTTTTGCCAAGAAATACACCTTGGGAAGTTATTCTGGCATTAAGCACATGCTCAACTTATTTGGACCACAAGGACAGGCACTTTCTTTGGTATTAAATTCTTGTGTTAGTTGAAATTCTGAAGAGATTTTCTTTTGAAGCTTGATGTAGCAGTAAGATCTAACTATTCTTTTTTCTACAAAGATTTTAATAGCCCAGGGGTACGGAATTTTCTAAAACTATTTTAGTTTGGGTACTACACATGATTTTTGGAAAAAGTTGAGTTTGGACTTCATTTTCTGCTAATTTCAGCACAATTTTCTTTGTTTGTCTTTTATTTTCAATGCCCAATCACATCTGGATGAGTGGTCATTATTTGTTTGATTCATTGTTCAAGTTTGTCATGTTTCCTGATCATATTCGTGTCTTATTAAGTTTGCACACAACTTAATAATTTAACACAGTTAGACTTAGCTGTACGGATTAAATGATCAATGTTAAAATTGTGGTTACAGTATATGAGCAGACTTTACTATACACGCAGTAAAATCTAACTGTTTAGTTTTTTTTCCTTTTAAATTCTATTTTTGATTCATGGGCTGATATAATTGCACACAAATGGTAAATTAATCCCCATAGCGAAGTCTTAGGGTGTCAAATAATAAGTTAGACACAGGCTAATGTGGTTAAAGATTGGATTTAAGATCCGGAAAAAAAAAATGATACAATTAGATCTAACAGTTTGGTTTTGTGCTTTATTGTGGATTACGTAAGCAATTTTCAATGAATTTAAATTGGCCAATGAATTTAAAAGACAATAATTTCATACAGTTAGACTTTTCATTGCATAGTAAAGTATGTTTCATTGCTCTTTTAATTTCCTTTTCTCATTAGCCAATGTAATTGCACACAACTTATAATTTGACACAGTTAAATTGTACTATGGGTGAGTAATTGAAAACTGATGTTTAAAGAGGACAATTAAACGTGCTTCTAGGCATTCATCTAATTGTGTGCATAATGAAACTTAACTGTATGAAATTTGACTTTATTCATTTTTACATTGACATTGCCATTATTGTTCAATTTTACTGTGAAATTTTTAAAAACTTCTTAAAATGGGTGTTAGACATGTGCTTAGGAGTATATCGAATTAATTTCATGAATTTTAGTGAAAACTGAATTTGAACCCCCTATTTTTTGCTTTGCATGATTTTTTTGTTTTTTTTTCCTTCTTGAATCTGTTTGGAGTTTCCTTATGAAATTTGTGGGCATCATAATCACATGTAAATGAGTGTTCTAAAACAAATTCATAATTTTCTAAAATATTTTGATTGCTTAGATTTATTGTAGAAGTACTCAAAGTTAAGAATTTTTTGTTCTACCTATGTTTTGTGTATTTCTTTATGGTTTCTTATCCCTTAAATGGTATGGAATTTTAGAAAATTATTGTGGGTGTTATACATGTGTTTAGGAGTTTCTTTACGAAATCTGGTGGAAATTTTAATTACATGTAAAGAAGTGCTCTTAAAAATTTTCATATTTTTCTAAAATTGTTTGGTTGCTATGATTTGTTGTAAAAGTTATATACAGTTAGATTTTATTGTTCTAACTATCTATGTGTATTTATTTGCAGATTTTTTATCCCTTAAACAGTATGAAATTTTCAAATACTGTTTTATATGGGTTTTATACATGTATTTAGGATCCAGAATTAATTTAATGAATTTTGGTGAAAGTTGAGTTCAGACCCTTGTTTTTGCTATTTTTCGCACAATTTATTTTATTTTTTTATATCTCACAAATCTTTGGAGTTATCTTACAAAATTTGGTGGGCATCTTAATTACATGTAAAGGAGTGTTCTAAAAGAACTTCATAATTTTCTAAAGTCCTTTTGTTGCTCTGATTTCACTGTCCAGTTAAGTCTAATTGCACAGTGAAATCTAATTGTTTTGGTCTTTGGGAATTTCATGTTCAACATATATCTTGTTTGACAGATTTTGGAAAAGCAATCCAAAAATATCAATTTTATTAAAAATAGGTTGTAGAATTCAAGTTATGAGTTTATAGTTTCTAATACAAAATTAAATGCAAGGGGCGTTATTGTCTTGAGAAAATAACTTGACTTATGGCCTTAAAAGTTTAGAGCATGGACTGATTTCCTTTTAAAAAGTCCAAAAAGTGGACTTACAACCCAAGAGCCCTTTTTTGTGTGTGTATACATGAACAAAAGTCAGTGCCTTAAGACAAATGCAAACTACAAGGGCCATAACCGAAACTATAACTGGAACAAAGCATATGCCCAAACTCTATTGTCAAAAACATTTGCATACTTTAGCAGCCAGGTCATCAATTAGCTTAGAAGCAACCCGAACTCAACAAATCTCTGCTGTGTATTTTTTAAATCGGCATGATAATTATATGCAGATATGCATGCAACCTTGGTGGAGCTAGTCATAGTGATATTTATTTTGTTTAAACAGGTCTTAGCTCTTCGTGGATCTTATCATGGTGATACTTTGGGTGCCATGGAAGCACAAGCACCATCATCTTATACAGGTTTCCTCCAGCAACCATGGTATGGGCATTTCTTACCAAGTGTCTTCATAAAAAGTTGTCTACCTTTAAATAATCCAAAAAAAAAAAAAAAAATTGTTTTCTACCTTTACCTGTGGATAATGTTCCTTGGGTCATGTTCTTTGCCTTCTACTGATGGGATACATACTACCACTGCTTGGCGTGTTGGGATTCCAGTGCCAAACATTTTGCTACATTGGTGAGACATGTTGAAACAGAATTCATGATTCTCTTTTTTTCTTCCAACAAATATGAAGACTAAATTTTGGATATGAAATTGTAGTGGTATTGTTAAGAGGACTTTACAAAATAAAAGAAGTGGGTTAATCTTAGGATTTAAGTATAGGTGGGAAAATTTATATATCTTGGACATTTAAATATATTTAGGCTAACTATGGTTAGGATGAAAATGGTGGAAAGTGAGGGAAATGGAAAAAATTAACTTTATTTTTTACTTTTATAGTTTGTTTAGCATGAAAGTGCTGGAAGTTATAAGAAAGTCAATTTTCTTGTTCAACTCATGATAGCATGGTAGCTAAGCTTCTAATTTCTTGCAAAAAGAATAGGAAAATGCAAGAAAGTTTAAATTTGTTACAAAAGTAGTTACTTATAATTAGAATTCCTATTTTCTTGCAAAATTTTCATCTTAATCAAATTTATACAAGAAAATATATTTTCTTTTAATTTTCTTTTCTTTCACTTCACTTTCTACCATTTTCACTTTCCATCATTTATCTCTTTCTAATCAGACGGCACCTTAGGCCCCGTTTGGAAAGTTGGGTTTTTAGTCAAAAAATCAAAAAGCCAAAAAGCCACTACAGGTTGTCATATCACTCTCTGCTTTTCTGCACATCTTTTTGTAAAAATCCAAACAAGCCAACTACAATAGCCAATTTCCAAACAAGGCCTTAGTGTAAGATAGATGTCAATAAGTAATTTTTTTTCTATCAAAATTTTTTGTGTTTGCTAGGATCCTAGTACCTATCTTTATAATTTGCTTTGTTAGCTTGTATCTATTGCAATTAGTTTATGTTTCATATTCTTGCCCGTGCAACATTGGCAATGATGATGCATGTAAGAGTGCTTGGCTATAAATGAAATCCTTTATGCTGTTGCTAAAATTTGGCACAATGGTCACAAGAAACTCTCTCCAACAATGTGCTATCTATCGTGCCAATTTAGCATGATATTATCCATCGTGCCAAATTTTGGCATAATGAATGTTTGGCCATTGACTTCTTTTAGATCTACTATATTAGGTCCCAAAAAATTTCATATAAAATTAATATGTATATATTTTAAAATACTAACCGTGTCATATTAAGAAAAATTTAATTCAAAATACAATTTGAAGGCATTTAGGAGGTTTTGAGGAAAGTGGTTCAGTTATTGATGAACGTAAAGGTCGTCTTAGCTTATCCGAGATTGATGTACGCAGAGCTAACGATGGTGCTAGTGATGTTGATCCTAGTTCGTCTATTTTGGAGGTTGGTGCTGCTAGAAAAAAAGAAGTTGATAAGAAATGGTTTGTTGTTATGGATGGTCCAAAATTTTCCAATGTTTTATGAAATGAAATCACGAGTGTAAAGAAGAATGACGATGTTGTTGATGATAAGGGAAATGTTATAAGTAAATAGAAGCTTGAGTGGTTACATAAATAAAATTAATAAAAAAATTTATTAATCATGATAATGGTAACATTTACATCAAACTATTCCCTCATTTTTGGGGACATTGCATCTAAACCAACTACTGTCCTCATTAGTTAATATAATATAAGGAATTCCTCCTCTAATACTGAGATCTGGTTGGAATTTAATAAATACATGGAAGTCTCTCTCGCAACCTACTAAATTTTTCATTAGTTTGATTGGGACTGTTGAGTAGTTGATGTCGTCTATGATGTTGTAGACGGCGTCTTGATCATAGTTCTTGAAACTTATTTTGTCGGAGAAATAGTTTTGTTGTCCGAGACTTCTGGCCCAGGCAGTTTTTCCTATTCTTGAAGGTCCTTCGAGGTAGAGGGATATTGGGCGGATGGGTCGCTATTTAGGATCCTATTATCAGAGGAGGAGGAGAGTTCTTCGTCAGTATGTAAATCGTGTCCCTAATCTAATGTTGTCTTAACTGTACACGGAGAAACAACAATTTTGACATAGCTCGTATTTTATAAAATTCTAACTTGCAAAATATTATTTTCTGCCCAATTTTTTTACTTCATTTAAAAAACGAAATGAATTAAAGGGGCCAATATATGGGGATCGTTCTCATTTGTAATGATCCCTCGAAAATGTTTTTAATGGGAGGTATTTTGTTACGTAATCGGTGGGACATCTTTCTTTGCAGAGTGCAAAGAATTGTTCCTCCATTTCTGCTTCTGCAAGTATTCCTCGCTAGAGTTCATCTCTGTTCTTCAAGGGACTTTTTCCCTTAGATGAAAATTCTTCCCATTTTATGAAATCGCCGCCTTTCTATATATACTGTCGACTTGCTATTGGAGAATGAAGTTTTTCTATATTTGGATGATAGATTCTCCCATTGGTTCTAGTGAGATCGAAAAATCTCTGGTTGGAGGTTTGGATCTTCTTTGTGTGTTGAACCATGGCATAAAAGTGAGGGTTTCCATCTTCGTTGAGCTCTCTTGCGACATGTAGTATGGCTAACAGACTAGTTGGAAAAAGGATTGGAGGAGTTTTAAAAGTTGTTTTTTTGGGCAAGGGCATTGTGGGTGGGTGAGAAAAACATTCTTGGCATAGAAACGGAAAGAGGCTTGGCGAGACATTTTGTAGTGATAAACAGTAAACTCACACCAGCTGTACAAGGGTTTCTTATTAGTTAAAAAACCTGGTGTGACTAGGGGACGCTGGTCCCGTGCTGATCTGGGCCGTCCATTTATGTACTTGTAAACACGTGTATGGATGGGGTTAAAAGGAAGGCGCACCTGGGCCCAGGTGTGAGTGGTGTGAATACTTTTGATTCCTTTGCCGGATAATACACGTGTCACGTTTGTGATGGTTTGCGTGGTTGTAAAATAAAGATATTTTCAGAATGAGTGACATAAAGCAAAGTTTATGCTTTTGAATTATTTTGAATGGGGAATCTTCTTTCTTACAGATGGGCCGCTTTTGTTATTTATTTGATACTAGAAAATATTTGATGGTAGAAAGGAATATGCTTTTGTAGTGGGATAGCTATTGTGGTCATGTTTTTTGGTACCTTGTTTCGTCCCTCCTTTTCTATCTTTTTTTTTGTTGGTTGTATTGGTATACAATGTTGTACTCCTTAGAAGAGTATTCGAAGAATTATGGACAGTTCACTCAAATGTGTGTAGATCGTTTTTCGACGTGGCAAATAGGACTGTGGGAAGAGAGCTGGCGGTCAGCTCTAGCGAAGTTTGTTCGTGGGTACGAGAAACAGAGGGAAAAAATATCAAAGCTAAAGTGTCTAAACAGAAGGGTTAAACAAAGCTAACAGATCCTATAGAAGTGTACGAATAAAAGATTTGGAGTTTTTTATAAAAAAAATGGAAGGAGTAGTAAGTAGCCAGTATCGGATTCTCCTTGCGTACCGGTGGTCAAGGACACCGGCGGCCAGTGGATATAAGGGTAGTTACCGTGGTCGTGCACCTTTTAAGGCGGCATACATTCGCAAACGGTACGTTCAGAATATCCCCGATATATTAAGAAGACCAAGAGGAGAGTAAGGAAGTTACAATTGTCCGATGAACACTTAAGGGACGTTAAATTTGAGAACAAAGGTATAGCTAGATTGCTGAATGGTATTGAGTTGGGTAATAAAAAATGTGACCGTCAATCAAACAAGATCGTGGTTAAGGGTATAAGATTAATTGGGAATGTTCAATTAGGACAAGAGAGGCTAAAGAGGAAGCTATGGTCCACCACGTTTTGTTTTTCGTCATAAGTGATAATAGTCCGTCAGATTCCGTCCTCACGCCTGACAAGATATTTATTGGAGTTGGTGAGTTAATCCTGAGACCTGGATTGTTGATCCTGATCAGTCTGCCAGGTTTCGGATGCTAAAGAAAATGAGATTCAAGCTCGTTGGTGGCAAAGACCAAGAGTATGTTCGTCACAGAATAGAAGTTATGGACTGGTTATTCCCAGTTGATGTTTGGATGGACTATAAAGATACATTGTTGGAAAATGTTGGAAGTATTCAAAAGGGTGCCATATATTTAGGCTGCTACTGTTAATGGAAAAGAATGCAAAATTACGTTAAAGAGTCAAATGTACTTTAAAATTGTTTAGAATTATAATTGTGTGTATTTTTATTTGTAATGTTCAGGTGAATAGAGGTGGACGATATAAAAACTGGTGTTGTTGAAGGAGTTTCAGCAAGTGATTTCAGTTGTATTAAACTTGCATTACCTAATTTCTTTGCTCAGTTTAGGTTGAGATACAAACACCAAGAGTATTAAGGATGATAAAATATTACTCCCTTTGCACACCCAATACCAGTGGGTTGGTCAGAGTAAATGTATATGATCGGAGGTTAGATGGTAATGACAGTTTGCAGGCGTATTTTGTTTTCCCTGTGGATTGTCAGTGCGAATTAGTGTATTATGGGAATGGTTATTGTTCCATTAACGAAAAACAGGTGCTATGGATGGTGAAGTATCGACTCGAAGATTCGAATATTAAAAGGGGAGTAACGTATTGTAAAATGAAGGGATATTTGAAGTATTCTACAAGTGAAATGCCAGAAGATTCGTAGTTAAGGGTGCCATCTATTGTTGTCTTATCTAAAAAATATACGAAGCCGAATGTTTATGTTTGGCATTGTGTTCCAACTAAAGTGCTTCCGATTCTATCGCGGACTAAGTCTGTTGGTTTATCTGAGAGGCGGAGAGATTTGCTGTTAGGAGGTTTTGGGGAAAGTGGTTCAATTATTGATGAACGTAGAGGTTGTCTCAGCTTATTCGAGATTGATGTACGCAGAGCTAATGATGGTGCTACTGATGTTGATCCTGGTCCGTCGATTTTGGAGGTTGATCCTGCTAGAAAAGAAAAAGTTGATAAGAGATGGTCTGTTGTTATGGACGGTCCAAAATTTTCTAATGTTTTTCGAAATGTAATCATGAGTGTAAAGAAGAATAACGATGTTGTTGATGATGATAAAGGAAATGTAATAAGTAAATAAACATTAGTGGTTACATAAATAAAATTAATAAAATTTTTCATTAATCATGACAGTGATTACATTTGCATCAAACCATTCTCTCATTTTTGGGGACATTATATCCAACCAACTACTGCCCCCATTAGTTAACTTTTCTGTTTAGACACCTTAGCTTTGATATTTTTTCCCTCTACTCCTCGTACCGACGAACAAACTTTATCGGAGCTGACCGCTGGATCTCTTTCCACAGTCTTATTTGCCACGTCAAAAAACGATCTATACACATTTGAATGAACTGCTTGTAATTCTCGAGATACTCTTCTAAGGAGTACAACATTGTATACCCATACAATCAATAAGAAAGAAAGACAGAAAATGAGGGACAAAACAAGGTACTAGAAAACAACGTCACCACAATAGCTATCCCGTTACAAAAGCATATTCTTTTCTACCATCAAATATTTTCTAGTACCAAATAAATAGCAAAAGTGGCCCGTCAGTAAGGATGAAGATTCCCCATTCAAAATAATTCAAAAGCATAATCATTTTCCTGCCTTTGCTTTATGTCACTCATTTTGAAAATATCTTTACTTTACAACCACGCAAACCACCACAAACGTGACACGTGTATAGCATTATCCGACAAAGGAATCAAAAATACTCACACGAATCACACCTGGGCCCGAGTGTGACTTCCTTTTAACCCCATCCATACACGTGTTCACAAGTACATGAATGGACGGCCCAGATCAGTGCGGCACCAACTCACACCATTCACACCAGATTTTTAACTAATAGGGAGCCCTTGTACGGCTGGTGTGAGTTTATTGTTTACCACTACAAAATGTCTCTTTTCGTTTCCATGCCAAGAAGATTTTCCTCACCTACCCACAATGTCCTTGCCTAAAAGAAAAGCTCTTAGAACTCCTTCAATCCCTTCTCCAACTAGCCTGTCAGCTATACTAATACTTGTCACTAGGGAGTTCCACGAAGATGAAAACCCTCACCTTCATGCCATGGTTTAATGCACAAAGAAGATCCAAGCCTCCAACCAGAGATTTTTCGATCTCACTGGAACTAACGGGAGAATCTATTATCCAAATATAGAAAAACTCCATTCTCCAACAACAAGTCGACAGTATATACAGAAAGGCGGCGATTTCATAGAATGGAGAGAATATCTAAGGGAAAAAGTCCCTCGAAGAACAGAGACGAACTCTGGCAGAAAATAATTGCGGAAGCAGAAACGGAAGAACAATTCTTTGCACTCTGCAAAGAAAGATGTCCTACCAATTACGTAACAAAATACCCCTCATTAAAAACATTTTCGATGGATCATTACAAATGAGAACGGCCGCTATATATTGGCCTCTTTAATTCATTTCCTTTTTTAAATGAAGTAAAAAATTGGGTAGAAAACAATATTTTGTTTGTAAGTTCAAATTTTATAAAATACGACCTATGTCAAAATTGTTGTTTCTGCGTTTACAGTGAAGACGACAACATTAGATTAGGGATACGCAATAATAATAAACATGATTTACATACTGACAAAGAACTCTCCTCATCCTTTGATAACAGGATCCTGAATAGCGACCCATCCGCTCAATATCCTCTTTCAAGAGCAGGAAAAACTGCCTGGGCCAGAAGTCTCGGACGACACAACTACTTCTCCGGCAGAATACGTTTCAAGGACTATGATCAAGACATCGTCTACAACGTCATAGACGACATCAAATACTCAACAGTCCCAACTGAACTAATGAAAAATTTAGTAGGTTGCCAGAGAGACTTCCATATATTTGTTAAATTCCAACCAGATCTCACTATTAGAGGAGAAATTTCTTGTATTATATTAACTACTGGGGACAGTAGTTGGTTTAGATGCAATATTCCCAAAAATGAGGGAATAGTTTGATGTAAATGCAACCACTATTATGATTAATGAAAAATTTTATTAATTTTATTTATGTAACCACTCAAACTTTTATTTACTTATTACATTTCTTTTATCATCAAGAACAACATCGTCATTCTTCTTTACACTCATGATTTCATTTCATAAAACATCAGAAAATTCTGGACCGTCCATAACAACAGACCATCTCTTATCAACTTCTTCTATTCTAGCAGCACCAACCTCCGAAATCGACGGACCAGGATTGACATCACTAGCACCATCGTTAGTTTTGCGTACATCAATCTCGGATAAGCTAAGACGACTTCATCAATAACTAAACCACTTTCCCCAAAACCTCCTAACAGCAAATCTCTCTGCCCCCATCAGAAAATGCTAACCATCAAATTTTATTTTGATGCAAGTTTTAATTGAGCTAATGAATACCTTTTAATTAGAAGTATAATCTAAAGACAATGTGAATACATAAAATTAGTACACACGATTGCATCGTATGTTAGTAATTGAATTGTGCTAAAAGAATAACATATGCATTGTTGAAGCATATATTTCAAAACACGACATTTTTGACACTTTGGTGTGCTAAAATATAATTTTTTTGTTTTTTTTTTATAATTGGGTGTCCATGCCAGCTTACACGCCTGCACATTGACTAATCCCGAGACTTACGTAAAGCGCCCCCTCCATGTGGATTGAGCAAATTTCGGGCAGAGCCCGCAGGCGTGGCCCCAAGGAGTTGATAGCACCTAGTGGGAGTTGAACTTGAGACATGGAGAGAGCACAGCCCCATGCTGCACCCACCATGCCAACTCCTTGGGGTTGTGCTAAAATATGATATTGGCACAATTAAATAGTACGATCTGCTGGAGATGGTCTAACATCTCAAGTTTGTAATAACTTGCCATATATTGACAACTACTAAATTGGTTTTGCTGTCTTAGTGCATATTTGACCTTTTTAGATATATACTTTCAATTGCTAATGCAATGAACATTTCATGTAGTTTGTGTACGTCTTTTATGAATGCCTATGGTACTTGTCAAGCAACAAGGGATGGAAATAAAGAGCAAGCTAGTTTAGATGGGATGTTTTAAGATATTGTGTCTTTCAAAAAAATTGCAGGTACACAGGAAGAGGGTTTTTTTTGGATCCTCCAACTGTCTTTATGCAAAATGGTGTTTGGAAACTCTCTCTTCCTGAAAGGATGAATCCTGAAAAAGTGAAAGTAGAAGATACATGTAAGTAAAGCATGTTTCGATATCTTCTCTTCTGATTTTCTCACTGTTACATGGTGATCATTAGATGATAGGTGTTGACATTTGTAACAGCCTTCAGCTTGCGCGATGAAATATTCTACAACAGCAGGGATGGGTCAAGTCTGGCTGGTAGTTATTCATCTTATATAACTCGAGAGTTATCACTACATTCAGGATTAAGAGGTTTTACACATATTGGATCATTGATTATAGAACCAGGTAATATAGTATAACATATTGATTTATGGTTAGTTTCATTCAATTCTTTATGAAGTTGGAATTAGTGTCTGCTATATAAACTTCATTTTCATGAGAGCAGTTAATTAACTATAATTTTGTCATTAACTTAGATTTTCTTTCCTTTGGGTCAACCTTCCTTTTCTAGGGCACATTCCACTTCATGTTCTTGTTCCATCCAATTTCTAAATGTGAATTGAATGATGAGACCTCACATTTGACTTCATCCTTCTTATTTGTTATCCTATCCATACTGAATCCTCACATGGTAGTGACACACATGTAGGAGGATTGGGGGTTTCAACAGTCATGTTATGTTGTTGATAGATTTAAGTAAATTGACTTCTTAAAGTGATGCATGGGCAAAGGAAGAAAGGGGAATTTTTGTTGAACATTGAGGCCAAATTATTGAAGATTATTTTCACTGGACACACATTGTTCCAAATTTGCTTGAACTGGAACAATTTGATTTATTTATTTATTTATAACAGGTCATATTTTGGTAATTTTGTAGACCATGAGCTAAGTGGCCTGGAGTGGTGTCCATGTTAGACACCAACACTTATTCAGCAGTTTGGGATATATGATAAACACTTCTTGGATTCAAAACTAAATTCCGCAATTTTGTAAACTCGATTGACATTTCTCATATTCTTGGTTGACCCTTAATGGTATTAGTGCACATTTGCTTGACACTCGGGAAAAAGGTAAGAAAGAAAATTTGATAGCAGGCATAAGGTCACCAGGTTGAGTATGGTTTTCTCAATATTTGAAAAACATTGTAAATTGAAAAATATAATACGAGATGTGTTAAAATTGATGTATTATTGATTGTTGTATGTTATCTATTACAAGCATGACTGTGGTTCAGGTTGGCAGGTATGAGGTCAAGATATCATGTATACAACATAGGCATGAGTGTAAGCTCCATATCACCTCTTCTCCAAGCCTGGTCAAGGTGGATCTATCTTAGCAGGAAGACAGCCAAGCATGACTGTGGTTCAGGTTGGCAGGTATGAGGTCAAGATATCATGTATACAACATAGGCATGAGTGTAAGCTCCATATCACCTCTTCTCCAAGCCTGGTCAAGGTGGATCTATCTTAGCAGGAAGACAGCCAAGCATGACTGTGGTTCAGGTTGGCAGGTATGAGGTCAAGATATCATGTATACAACATAGGCATGAGTGTAAGCTCCATATCACCTCTTCTCCAAGCCTGGTCAAGGTGGATCTATCTTAGCAGGAAGACAGCCAAGCATGACTGTGGTTCAGGTTGGCAGGTATGAGGTCAAGATATCATGTATACAACATAGGCATGAGTGTAAGCTCCATATCACCTCTTCTCCAAGCCTGGTCAAGGTGGATCTATCTTAGCAGGAAGACAGCCAAGCATGACTGTGGTTCAGGTTGGCAGGTATGAGGTCAAGATATCATGTATACAACATAGGCATGAGTGTAAGCTCCATATCACCTCTTCTCCAAGCCTGGTCAAGGTGGATCTATCTTAGCAGGAAGACAGCCAAGCATGACTGTGGTTCAGGTTGGCAGGTATGAGGTCAAGATATCATGTATACAACATAGGCATGAGTGTAAGCTCCATATCACCTCTTCTCCAAGCCTGGTCAAGGTGGATCTATCTTAGCAGGAAGACAGCCAAGCATGACTGTGGTTCAGGTTGGCAGGTATGAGGTCAAGATATCATGTATACAACATAGGCATGAGTGTAAGCTCCATATCACCTCTTCTCCAAGCCTGGTCAAGGTGGATCTATCTTAGCAGGAAGACAGCCAAGCATGACTGTGGTTCAGGTTGGCAGGTATGAGGTCAAGATATCATGTATACAACATAGGCATGAGTGTAAGCTCCATATCACCTCTTCTCCAAGCCTGGTCAAGGTGGATCTATCTTAGCAGGAAGACAGCCAAGCATGACTGTGGTTCAGGTTGGCAGGTATGAGGTCAAGATATCATGTATACAACATAGGCATGAGTGTAAGCTCCATATCACCTCTTCTCCAAGCCTGGTCAAGGTGGATCTATCTTAGCAGGAAGACAGCCAAGCATGACTGTGGTTCAGGTTGGCAGGTATGAGGTCAAGATATCATGTATACAACATAGGCATGAGTGTAAGCTCCATATCACCTCTTCTCCAAGCCTGGTCAAGGTGGATCTATCTTAGCAGGAAGACAGCCAAGCATGACTGTGGTTCAGGTTGGCAGGTATGAGGTCAAGATATCATGTATACAACATAGGCATGAGTGTAAGCTCCATATCACCTCTTCTCCAAGCCTGGTCAAGGTGGATCTATCTTAGCAGGAAGACAGCCAAGCATGACTGTGGTTCAGGTTGGCAGGTATGAGGTCAAGATATCATGTATACAACATAGGCATGAGTGTAAGCTCCATATCACCTCTTCTCCAAGCCTGGTCAAGGTGGATCTATCTTAGCAGGAAGACAGCCAAGCATGACTGTGGTTCAGGTTGGCAGGTATGAGGTCAAGATATCATGTATACAACATAGGCATGAGTGTAAGCTCCATATCACCTCTTCTCCAAGCCTGGTCAAGGTGGATCTATCTTAGCAGGAAGACAGCCAAGCATGACTGTGGTTCAGGTTGGCAGGTATGAGGTCAAGATATCATGTATACAACATAGGCATGAGTGTAAGCTCCATATCACCTCTTCTCCAAGCCTGGTCAAGGTGGATCTATCTTAGCAGGAAGACAGCCAAGCATGACTGTGGTTCAGGTTGGCAGGTATGAGGTCAAGATATCATGTATACAACATAGGCATGAGTGTAAGCTCCATATCACCTCTTCTCCAAGCCTGGTCAAGGTGGATCTATCTTAGCAGGAAGACAGCCAAGCATGACTGTGGTTCAGGTTGGCAGGTATGAGGTCAAGATATCATGTATACAACATAGGCATGAGTGTAAGCTCCATATCACCTCTTCTCCAAGCCTGGTCAAGGTGGATCTATCTTAGCAGGAAGACAGCCAAGCATGACTGTGGTTCAGGTTGGCAGGTATGAGGTCAAGATATCATGTATACAACATAGGCATGAGTGTAAGCTCCATATCACCTCTTCTCCAAGCCTGGTCAAGGTGGATCTATCTTAGCAGGAAGACAGCCAAGCATGACTGTGGTTCAGGTTGGCAGGTATGAGGTCAAGATATCATGTATACAACATAGGCATGAGTGTAAGCTCCATATCACCTCTTCTCCAAGCCTGGTCAAGGTGGATCTATCTTAGCAGGAAGACAGCCAAGCATGACTGTGGTTCAGGTTGGCAGGTATGAGGTCAAGATATCATGTATACAACATAGGCATGAGTGTAAGCTCCATATCACCTCTTCTCCAAGCCTGGTCAAGGTGGATCTATCTTAGCAGGAAGACAGCCAAGCATGACTGTGGTTCAGGTTGGCAGGTATGAGGTCAAGATATCATGTATACAACATAGGCATGAGTGTAAGCTCCATATCACCTCTTCTCCAAGCCTGGTCAAGGTGGATCTATCTTAGCAGGAAGACAGCCAAGCATGACTGTGGTTCAGGTTGGCAGGTATGAGGTCAAGATATCATGTATACAACATAGGCATGAGTGTAAGCTCCATATCACCTCTTCTCCAAGCCTGGTCAAGGTGGATCTATCTTAGCAGGAAGACAGCCAAGCATGACTGTGGTTCAGGTTGGCAGGTATGAGGTCAAGATATCATGTATACAACATAGGCATGAGTGTAAGCTCCATATCACCTCTTCTCCAAGCCTGGTCAAGGTGGATCTATCTTAGCAGGAAGACAGCCAAGCATGACTGTGGTTCAGGTTGGCAGGTATGAGGTCAAGATATCATGTATACAACATAGGCATGAGTGTAAGCTCCATATCACCTCTTCTCCAAGCCTGGTCAAGGTGGATCTATCTTAGCAGGAAGACAGCCAAGCATGACTGTGGTTCAGGTTGGCAGGTATGAGGTCAAGATATCATGTATACAACATAGGCATGAGTGTAAGCTCCATATCACCTCTTCTCCAAGCCTGGTCAAGGTGGATCTATCTTAGCAGGAAGACAGCCAAGCATGACTGTGGTTCAGGTTGGCAGGTATGAGGTCAAGATATCATGTATACAACATAGGCATGAGTGTAAGCTCCATATCACCTCTTCTCCAAGCCTGGTCAAGGTGGATCTATCTTAGCAGGAAGACAGCCAAGCATGACTGTGGTTCAGGTTGGCAGGTATGAGGTCAAGATATCATGTATACAACATAGGCATGAGTGTAAGCTCCATATCACCTCTTCTCCAAGCCTGGTCAAGGTGGATCTATCTTAGCAGGAAGACAGCCAAGCATGACTGTGGTTCAGGTTGGCAGGTATGAGGTCAAGATATCATGTATACAACATAGGCATGAGTGTAAGCTCCATATCACCTCTTCTCCAAGCCTGGTCAAGGTGGATCTATCTTAGCAGGAAGACAGCCAAGCATGACTGTGGTTCAGGTTGGCAGGTATGAGGTCAAGATATCATGTATACAACATAGGCATGAGTGTAAGCTCCATATCACCTCTTCTCCAAGCCTGGTCAAGGTGGATCTATCTTAGCAGGAAGACAGCCAAGCATGACTGTGGTTCAGGTTGGCAGGTATGAGGTCAAGATATCATGTATACAACATAGGCATGAGTGTAAGCTCCATATCACCTCTTCTCCAAGCCTGGTCAAGGTGGATCTATCTTAGCAGGAAGACAGCCAAGCATGACTGTGGTTCAGGTTGGCAGGTATGAGGTCAAGATATCATGTATACAACATAGGCATGAGTGTAAGCTCCATATCACCTCTTCTCCAAGCCTGGTCAAGGTGGATCTATCTTAGCAGGAAGACAGCCAAGCATGACTGTGGTTCAGGTTGGCAGGTATGAGGTCAAGATATCATGTATACAACATAGGCATGAGTGTAAGCTCCATATCACCTCTTCTCCAAGCCTGGTCAAGGTGGATCTATCTTAGCAGGAAGACAGCCAAGCATGACTGTGGTTCAGGTTGGCAGGTATGAGGTCAAGATATCATGTATACAACATAGGCATGAGTGTAAGCTCCATATCACCTCTTCTCCAAGCCTGGTCAAGGTGGATCTATCTTAGCAGGAAGACAGCCAAGCATGACTGTGGTTCAGGTTGGCAGGTATGAGGTCAAGATATCATGTATACAACATAGGCATGAGTGTAAGCTCCATATCACCTCTTCTCCAAGCCTGGTCAAGGTGGATCTATCTTAGCAGGAAGACAGCCAAGCATGACTGTGGTTCAGGTTGGCAGGTATGAGGTCAAGATATCATGTATACAACATAGGCATGAGTGTAAGCTCCATATCACCTCTTCTCCAAGCCTGGTCAAGGTGGATCTATCTTAGCAGGAAGACAGCCAAGCATGACTGTGGTTCAGGTTGGCAGGTATGAGGTCAAGATATCATGTATACAACATAGGCATGAGTGTAAGCTCCATATCACCTCTTCTCCAAGCCTGGTCAAGGTGGATCTATCTTAGCAGGAAGACAGCCAAGCATGACTGTGGTTCAGGTTGGCAGGTATGAGGTCAAGATATCATGTATACAACATAGGCATGAGTGTAAGCTCCATATCACCTCTTCTCCAAGCCTGGTCAAGGTGGATCTATCTTAGCAGGAAGACAGCCAAGCATGACTGTGGTTCAGGTTGGCAGGTATGAGGTCAAGATATCATGTATACAACATAGGCATGAGTGTAAGCTCCATATCACCTCTTCTCCAAGCCTGGTCAAGGTGGATCTATCTTAGCAGGAAGACAGCCAAGCATGACTGTGGTTCAGGTTGGCAGGTATGAGGTCAAGATATCATGTATACAACATAGGCATGAGTGTAAGCTCCATATCACCTCTTCTCCAAGCCTGGTCAAGGTGGATCTATCTTAGCAGGAAGACAGCCAAGCATGACTGTGGTTCAGGTTGGCAGGTATGAGGTCAAGATATCATGTATACAACATAGGCATGAGTGTAAGCTCCATATCACCTCTTCTCCAAGCCTGGTCAAGGTGGATCTATCTTAGCAGGAAGACAGCCAAGCATGACTGTGGTTCAGGTTGGCAGGTATGAGGTCAAGATATCATGTATACAACATAGGCATGAGTGTAAGCTCCATATCACCTCTTCTCCAAGCCTGGTCAAGGTGGATCTATCTTAGCAGGAAGACAGCCAAGCATGACTGTGGTTCAGGTTGGCAGGTATGAGGTCAAGATATCATGTATACAACATAGGCATGAGTGTAAGCTCCATATCACCTCTTCTCCAAGCCTGGTCAAGGTGGATCTATCTTAGCAGGAAGACAGCCAAGCATGACTGTGGTTCAGGTTGGCAGGTATGAGGTCAAGATATCATGTATACAACATAGGCATGAGTGTAAGCTCCATATCACCTCTTCTCCAAGCCTGGTCAAGGTGGATCTATCTTAGCAGGAAGACAGCCAAGCATGACTGTGGTTCAGGTTGGCAGGTATGAGGTCAAGATATCATGTATACAACATAGGCATGAGTGGTGTTTAGATTATTAGGGCTCTGGTTAGACGTGTTTTTGGGCCACTTCCTTACGGAATTAATTGAGTTTATTTAGTTTTCAACCCTTTTAGCTATGATTTTAGATAAGCAAGCTTTGTAGAGACAACTAAAGAAATTTGATTGATAATTATTTTTTTTCTCTTTTAGTGATGAGATCCCACTATTTTTTTTATTTTTTAATTTTTATATTTTTTCAATGATTCCTAAGACTCATTAAAATTCTAAAGTTTTTTGTTTGATAAGCAAAAATTTTATTACCAAAATTGCCTTGAAAGTGTGAACCCTATACACTCAAAAGGTCTTCAATGCCTTCAATTTCATCCTACCCTTATTTTACCCTACACTTCCATTGAAAACCCTACCCTTATTTTACCTCAAAATTCTAGCCCTATAATTATATTTTGGCGTTAAAAATATAGCACTATTTTCCTTCTAATTCTATTCTAAAACAGGCTTTAAAGCTTGGTGTGTCTAACCATTATTCCATTTTCAAAACTTGACCATTTTACCACCCTCTTTTTCTTCAAATATAACACCCAAACCAAAGCATATTTTGATTAGCTCCCTCAATAAAACTACTTATGTTGCTGATCCAAGAAAAAAAATAGCTCCACTTTAGGAGGATCCATGTTGATTGGTATTATGTGGTTCAGATAAAAAGGCTTGCTTTAAGAGAGTAAAAATGAAGGGAGCAGTTCAATTATCGTGGAACCTATCGAGGACCAGCTCCACAAGAGAAACTATGGTATATATTCCTACGTATATTAGGTATTGATTTCCTAGATATATTAGGTATTACCATAGTTAGGTCTCTTATAGGATACTCTTTTTCATAGTTAGATTTCTAGTCGGATACTCTTTCTCAACCTATATATACAGGCCTTCTATTGTATAGGATAATATTATTCAATACAATTCATTCAATACAATACATATTATTTTTCTCTCTCCACTATTCTAACAACTAATAGTGTGTATAAAGGTTTATGTGTTATTGTATGATTTGAAAATTTTGCTCAAAAACAGCAACTTGGCTCCTCCAAAATTTACAATGAAAATAGAGATAGTAGCCGATAATGTTCTCGATAGAGTTATTCTAAATCTAAACATTTGAAACTCCAAATATTTTAGCCAAATATCTATCCTTTGTGTGGTATATGATTCTTAATTCTTGGATGTGGCCAATGAGGCAGAATACAAAGATAGGAATCATCACAGGGAAGGATTAATTTTTGAGGCTGATTATACCACATTTTCTTATCACGTGCATTGAATGGACAAAAATCATGCCACATTATTATCTGGCTTTTTAAAAAAAAAAAATTATTTAATTATTTATTTTTTTTATTTTTTTTAAGTTACAAGTATCTGGAAATGAGTTAGTATAGTTCGGAACATCTTGCAGTTATACAAGGTTCAGGTGGAATGTTGATGGTTGATCCGCTTTTCCAACGTGTACTTGTTAAAGAATGCCAGAGTCGGAAGATTCCAGTTATCTTTGATGAGGTTTTTACTGGTTTCTGGCGTTTGGGAGTGGAGGTTAGTTGCAACCGTAATTTTAATTTTATTTCCCCCTTCATCGCCCTGCGTACTTATCCGATAAAGTTTCTCTTTCTTTCCAGTCTGCTGCAGAACTACTTTGCTGTCAACCAGATATAGCCTGCTTTGCAAAACTGATGACTGGTGGAATTGTGCCATTGGCTGCCACATTGGCAACAGATGCTGTTTTTGATGCATTTGTTGAGGATTCCAAGGTAATTCTCTTATGCTTAATTTATACATTTAAGTGATGACTGAAAGGTAATTTGCCCTTGGTAGCCATATTGATTGCTGATAAGATGTTGTACAGTGGATCTCATTTGACTTAACTAAAGAAAGATTTAGTGTCATTGTTTGAGAGAACAACTTGAACATTGATAGGGGTTGATCGTTGCAAAATCAATCTTTCCATACAACGTAAAGCGAGTATAGTTAGCAAGCACAAGTTCGCACCCACAGGGACTATTGGATTATTTTGCTATTTTAATAATCAATATCTAAATTAATTTGAACCGATTCCAATTTGATTGAGAAAGATTTAATGAGAATTGAATTTAAAACCCTAAATTAAAAAGCACTATTAAGTTTAGGTAATGAGATAGAGAGAGTACTTTGGGTATCTAGTCCAACCACTTGACGTGCAACTGGGTTTTGCACTTGGATTTTATGAAAGTGAGTGTTTGAAATGAACAACTCCACAACTACAAGTTTGGACTTGTTAACAAGAAATTTGAGGTATTTAATCCACTGGCATGTACTATCTTTAACCAGCACGAGTTGTCCACACTAAACTAGGGTTTGTGGCACAACTCGTCTAGTCCAAGCACAATGGTGTCTCCTATACACAAGCATAGAAAATTGTTGTAAAACACACATTCTCAATCACAGAAATGTAATGCACAAGATAGATAAAGAAATGAAAGATTGATAATCCAATTGTTTTACAAATGGTTTCAAAATACAATACAATCATAAAAAAACCTTCAGATGCAACCCGATTACTAGGGTTTCATCGATGAAACCCTAAAGGATGAGAGAACCGCAATTGAAGAGAGAACCGCCATGGAAGAGCTTGTGGATTTTATACGTTTCTTCGGATAGAATGAATATTTTTATAAAGTTATTACCATACAATATATTTCTCTCTGGTCTTTGAAGCTGCCACATTGTTGCCAATGAATTGCATCATCTGATTTAGATTTACAAGCTAATCTATTTCACCTGATGAGGAGATTGTAAGGTTTTGTATTTTGGTAGTCCTTGTTTGGAACTAAATTAGTTTTTAATTAGTTTAGGAAACCTTAGTTTAGTTGGCAATAGGAATCCTAGTATAGTTACAATGCTTCTATATAAGAGAGCCCATTGTAAATTTGTAATACAATGAGACCAGTAGTTGATTAATAAAGATTTTATGCAAATTTTTGTTGCTTTCAATGGTTAGACTCCTAGATGTCTTTAGAGAGGTTCTAGGCTCTATTCTCTTTGTTTTTCTTGTTTTTCGATTTTTCTTGGTTTTAGTTTTAATTCCCAGCTCTATTTTGTATAGTTAGCAACCAGAACCAACCCTACTTCTCCCTAGTTGCATCCTTAAATCTAAATTCCAACCCTTATTTGCCTCATCTTTTATACCCTTTAATTCTTGAATTTCCATACTATCCACAACTTCCAACTAGCATTAACCTTCCGTTCCATGTCAAAATCCAACCTGAACTTCTCCAAAATTCAAGCCTTTAACTTTGCCTTCCCAATTGAGAATTCTAATTTAGAAACCCTACCCAGGATTATTAACAAATAAGGAGTGTGCGTTTTGGGCCAGGAGAACCGATGCCCCCTATTGTGTGCCCCATCATCATTGGATTAAAAAAGGAAAGGAAAGATAGATTTGCACCTTGGACTTTGATATACCTTGTCTTGCATGTTTATGTGCATGTTTGACATTTAGCATTTTTTAGATGTTTAATTAAAATGGTTATGTTATATTCTTTGTTCAGCTCAAGGCTCTGTTGCATGGACACTCGTATACTGCGCATGCTATGGGGTGTACAGCAGCAGCTAAATCCATAAAATGGTTTAAGGACACTCAAACAAATTTCAATTTAATTTCTGAAGGAAGGTTGTTGAAGGAGGTAAGCGGAAATGAGATTTTTAATTTGTTCTTCTATTTTTCTAGTACCTGTCTTGTTTTTGCCTTGCATTTCTACCCACTTGTATCATTGTAGGGGAACTTTCAATCCATGTAGTCCCCCTTATCACTTAAAAAATATTGCTGCTAGAAGCTAATAGCCTTCTCATTTTTTTTATTTTTTTTGTTTCCTTTAGAGTTGACAGACCGAAGTGAGATTGAGGGAGAGGCATTGCTGCATAAAACCCAATTCATTCTCCCTTTTTTTTCTTTTTTTTTTTCTAATTTTGGTTGCTTGGAAGTTGGGATATTTGTTATTGTTGTTGGCTTAGTTGAGCTTGGCTTGTTGATTGGAATTGTTGCTTATTGTTCTATTCCTTATTATACTAGATTTGGTTGGGAGGGTATTCCCCCACAACAAGGGTGTGTGTACTGCCTGAGTTAATAGTGTAGTATTTCTGCTTTGCTGCTGACAGCCTAGGACTTGCTAGTCTCTCAAAAACAGCACTGTGAGTTGCATCATAATAAATGGTCATAAAGGATCTTGGTCACGAGTGAAATGAATATGTATGTTTGTTATGTTTTGTTGCAACATATCACTGCATTGGTTAGCCACCACAGGTCACAAGTTGAATTGTCGAATACCTTGCAACATAAAAATTGTCCATCTTTGAAACATTTAGGGATCATTCTCTGATTATGTCACTCATGATTTCTGCAAATCTGTCATTTGATTTTGAATGTTTGCAGTTATGGGATATGGGTCTAGTGCAGCTGATCTCATCGCATCGAACAGTCCATAGAGTGGTTGTATTGGGAACACTGTGTGCCCTAGAACTTCGAGCGGAAGGCTCTAACATTGGGTATTATCTCGTAACTTCTACTTTGTGACATTTTCAAATATTATGTTCTAGGAAATATTCTCATGGGTTACTGGTTGACACCCTAGCTTCCAGCGATTTTGACAAATTTTTGTGGAGGGTCTGTTGTAAAAATTGTTAACATGAAAGACATGTTCTTCCAGTGATTGTAAAAATTGTGAACATGAAAGACAGGTACTTCTTGGTTGTGTTACTATTGAATAATGTGTTTCGGAAATATTGGGATGGTTATAATCCTATGTTTCCCTGGCTATGAAAGTACAAATACTTCTAGAAGGGAGTCATATCCGTATTGTATCTGTATTGGATACTGATATGTATCGAATGCTTCCTAAAACATATCCGATACTTGAAATTAATTTTCTTTAATTTTGAGAAATATCAAATATAGGTCATGTATCAGAACTACTATGAAATTGATATTGTAATTATTCTTGCATAGTTGTAGTCTGTAGAGTATAATTATTAGTTTAAATAGAAAAATAGTTTTACAATACTTAGCTTACTTCTTAGAGAACAATAAAATATCATGATACTATAGTCCGATTCCAACAATGAATCAAAACTAGTAAACTTGCGTACTACATTTTAGCATATTACACTTTTAGGTGTGAAAAGTTAAAGGACAATGTAAACAATTTAAACTTGATATTAAAATGAAATTTTTATAGGACCTGCTAAAAACATAATAAAAAAGTGTTTGTTTGAGAGAGAAAAACTTAGAGAATGATAAGACAATCATCCCTTTTTATATTAATAATAGGTAACTTACAATGGAAGCCCTGGAAGCATAAATAAGGAAATAACATAACAAGGAAATAACAGCTAATAGAATAATCAATACACAATAACCAAAGATATTATTCTAACACTCCACCTTGAACTACAAAACATGTTGAGATTGATCGCCACTTCATTAAGGAGAAACTCACTAGTGGTACCATTTGTACTCCTTTTGTCCAGTCTGGTGAACAACTTGCTGACATTCTCACCAAGGGGATTGGGAATAAACCATTTCATGACATATTAGGCAAGCTGGGCATGAGAGATATCTTCGCACCAGCTTGAGGGGGAGTGTTAGCATATTATATTAGCCGAAAGTTTCACTAAGGTCTGTCTGTAATCATTTTGTGCCCTCAGGGATTATCTTGTAATTGACTCTCTTGTAAACCCTAATCTTCATTTTCTAAATAGGGGGTGATATTCTATCACACCCTTAAGCTGGTTACTCGAGCTTCAGTAACCTCAATACCTAGGAAATACTTCAGATTTTCCAAGTCTTTTATTTCAAACTTGCTTGCCAAATATTTCTTCAACTGGGATATTTTACGTCGTCTACATAAACAATGAGAGCAGTAGTCTTACTATGTGAGAAATACTTCACAAACAAAGTGTGATCAGCCTGACTTTGTTTGAAGCCATATTGGAACATAGTCTGAGTGAATCTCTCAAACCAAGCCTTTGGAGACTGTTTGAGTCTATATCATGACTTCCGAAGCCTGCATACTTTACCGTTTATCTGATGGTCCTCGAAGCCAAGGGAAATGTGTTGGAATTGGGAAATAGTGATATTATAATTATGGTAGTGTTGGAATTAGAAAATAGTGATATTGTAATTATGGTAGTGTGTATAAAATCTGTGATTATGTCAATCACAGGTTTAATGTCTTTTTTATCTTCGTTTCCTATTTTATAAAATTGTTTCATTATAAATATAAGGCTTTACCTCATTCATAGGTAAACCAAAACAATTCTTTTCATCCTTTTTGATATCAGAGCCAAAACACAGAAACCCTAGACCACCCCCTCCTCCTTGTAGGCCCCTGTTCTTCACTGCCCAGCAGTTTCTTCATTTTCTTTCTTCTTCCTCCAATAGCCGACAGACCACCTCTCTCCTCTAGACTACCCAACAGCCTAACCCAACATACCTAGACCACCCGAAACCACTTATGCACCCTCTTATACCCCTTGGCAGGACTATATTACACCTGCCGAGGGCCTTGCTGCTGCCTACTATGTCTCATCTTGGCCTAGAGTACTTTGACACCCTCTTTAGGGTGGGCTGAACCCTTTTTCTCTCTTTTATAGGGTATAGTGCTGATGCTTTAAACACTTTTCTGGAACACTTTTTGCCTTTTTTTTTTTTTTTTTCTTTTTGGGCTACCAGGTTTATTCGGTAGCATTTAGCCATTGAGTTTTTTTCGGCTTTTCTGGTTGTTTACTCGGACTGTGTTGCTGTATTGCTGTTTATTTCGGCCCTCATCATCTCTCCATGGATAACTCATTTTATACCATTCCTATTGAGGTATCTACTGCGCTCTCCACCAAACCTGTGCTTGTTCCAAGTACTGATTTTTCTCTTTCCCATCACATTCCTATTTATTGTATTACAAGTGTGGTGTTGAATGGGAAAAATTTTGATGCTTGGAGCCGTTTCCTTAAACTTTATCTTAGGGAAAGGGGAGAGGCTCATTGGCTTTTATCTACTATTACTCTGCTAGCTGCGGCATACCTTACATGTGCTCAGTAGGATACTGATAATTGCACTATATTGGGATGGATGTTCAATTCCATGGAATATCGAATTTATCATATGTTCCTTTATTGCGATATAGTTCCAAGTTTGTGGCAGGCATTGTCACATATGTACGCTCATGCTCACAATGATGCACGTATCTTCAAGCTTTACCAGATATAGCCTAGGCCTCATAGTCCTCTCTTAGCCTTTCTATAGCTGAATTCTTTGAATATTTTCAGGCTCGTTGGGAGAAACTTGCTCAATATGAGCCTTTAACTGAGCTTCCACCAAAAGCCGACTCCCTTGTGTCCAAGAGGCTTGCCTGACAATTATCAGTTTCTCATGGGTTTAAACTCTGAATTTGAATCTCTTCGAATTCAAATTCTAAACACATCACCTATGCCATCTCTTTGAGGCTTTTGCCACTATTGACAGTGATGAACGTCGCCAGCGATTGGTTCAGCCAAGTGTTCCTTCAGTCCCTCTAGTTTTAGCAGATCAGATGGCCCTTGTTGCGAGTTCTGGTTCTCGGAGTTCCATCGGTTCTGTTACTTGTCATCATTGCGGTGCGTCTGGACATGTCAAAGCCCGTTGCTTCAAACTTCATCCTAAGTTGAGGCAACGCCCTTCCCGTCCTCGTGGTCCTGCTCCACATGATTCTGGCTCTGCTTGCACTGCTGCATTAGTGGACGTTACTCCTGCTTGTCAGCCTCCTAATGTCCCTAATTTACAGCAATTACAGACTCAGATTGGTCAGCTTCAGGCTCAACTTGGGTCCCTCACCATTGGTTCTCTTGGTCCATCACTTCTACTGCCACTCTTGCTACAAGTACTTCTACTGCTTTCCATGTTTGGTCTGCTAGTCCTTCACGAATTCTGGATTTTGGGGGTAATGATCATATGACTGGTGAGTTTTCTTTTCTTTCCTCTCCTGAACCCACCACTGCTGCTCAATCTGTGTGTTTTGTTGATGGTTCTTACTCTTTTGTCCAACATAAGGGTATTGTGTCTGTATCCCTTGATATCACTTTATCTTCTATGTTGCATGGTCCCAAGTTTGCTTATAATCTCTTATCTGTTAGTCGTCTTGCCAAAACCTTTAACTGCGCTGTCATCTTCTTACTTTCTTCGTGTCTTTTATAAGACCTAAGTTCAAAGAGGATTTTTGGCGGGGGATATGAGCGCGACAGGCTATATTACTTTGGGGATCCACCAGACCAGCCTTCTTCGACTTTAGCCAGTTTTTAGGCGTCTGTTTTGCCTCCTTCTATATCTAATGTTTTTTTTGTTCAAACTTTAGAGTTATGACATGCCCGTATGGGTCATGTTAACTTTCAATATTTATGTCAACTTGTTCCATTACTAAATAAAGCTTACAAGGATTCTAAATTTCATTGTGTTACTTGTGAGTTGTCTAAACATATCCGTACTAGTTACATACCACATATGACACGGGGCCCTAGTACTTTTGACCTTATTCATTCTGATGATTGGGGTCCCTTTCCTATTCTTGCTTTTCCGGGTCATCGTTATTATTTGACTTTTATTGATGATCACACTACGTGTACCTGGGTCTATTTATTTCGCCGCAAGTCTGATGTGTTTCCCATCTTCGTTTAGTTTTTGCAAACGGTTGAGACATAATTTCGTACAGTTGTTAGGAACATCCGCTCTAATAATGGTTAGGGAATACATCTCCAACGAGTTTCGTTCCCACCTTAATCGAACAGGTATTCTTCAACAACTTACATGTCTTCGGACCCCTAAACAAAATGGTGTAGTTGAACGTAAAAACCATCATATTATGTCTGTCGTACGTTGTCTTCTTCGTGGTATGCGTGTGCTCGAGTCTCATTGGCACATGGTTATTTTTACTGCTGTCTATCTCATTAATAGGACTCCTAGTCGTGTGTTACATGGCCTTATCCTATTCCATATTCTTATTTTACCTCGTGTTTTGGGGTGTGTATGTTTTGTTCAGGACCGGCGTCCCACTCGCACTAAGTTGGATGACAAGTCTATTCGTTGTGTCTTTTTGGGGTATTCTTCTATGTCTAAAGGATATCAATGTTTTGATCCTGTGTCTCGTCAGTTTCACCACACTCTGGATGTTACTTTTTGTGAGGATCTTTCTTCCCCCCCTCCCTGTTTGCTGGTATACTCTCGCCGCCCTCGTGCTCAGCCCCCTCCTGCCACCTCTCCGAATCTTGGGTTAGGTAATTCTTCCCCTTTATATACATCTCCTTCCCTTTCTCGTCGTAATCCTCCTCGGGATCGACATCCCCCCGACCGTTGGGATTAGTATTGATCATCCCATTTCCCAGTATCTCTCATACGACAGGGTTTTAGACTCATACCATTCTTTCCTTGGCAAGCTTGAGTTCGAGTCTATTCCTCGGTCTGTGTCAGAGGCCTTTCATAATCCAAAATAGGTTGTTACCATGCAGACTGAAATGGCAGCTTT